AACTGTATTTTGCTGTATTTTGCTATCCTCAACAAGAGGACCATCTTAGTAGCTGACAGGAGGAGTGTTAGTGTCGACAGTCGTGTTGTTATTGTTATCGTGATTGTTGAGAATTACTCTCCCGACTTGGTTTTTTTTCATAGAATTTGCCTTGCGCTTGATCGTGTGAGTACTTCTCATCAAACACGCTGATACTCTTGCACTCCAGTCTTGTTGCGCTCTGTCTATAAGACCTAGTAGTCTTATGTACTGTGTTCTACACGGTTGCATTTTTAGTTGATATTTTGTTTGGTACTTGCCTGGTACAGTACTAACTCACAGAATCAGACCAAGTAGAGTACCGTACGTATTGTACTCGTACTTCTACTACGGTCCTCGGATCGCTACTGTATTTGCATTAACTTCAGCTCAGAACCTTTTACGGTACGCAGGTACTTGTACGTACATACGTAACGGTAGATTGACTCGAAACAGTTGTGTTTGTGTTAAACACGTTTCAGCAGTTGTGAACTTTCGAAACCCGGAAAGTACGTCATCGTTTCCGGAGGTATCTAATTGAAGCGAAGAACTTCGCGAAGAACTGCGTCTGACTTTTTGTTCCTGAACGCTGCTTCTTGCAATTTCAGTGACAGGACCTAAGATTAAAACTACTTCGTATCCAATAATGGCTGGGGGTACGCGACCCGGGACTCACACCTATGTATGAAATGAATCCGTCACAACGAGAAAGTTTTTTCAAATTGATTGGAAGCCAGTGGAGTAAAACAAGACACATCATTGTGAAGTCGCTGTCAACCGTCGATCTGCCGGTACCGATAGCGTACGTAAAAAAAAACAGATGGAACAAATTCAACCCGTCTCATCTGTACAGAGAAGATCGACCGTACAACAACAGAGCAGATAGTTGCTACGTTCCTTGGCAAGGGTAAAAATTTCCTTGTCATCTGATTCCTTGAATACCAAGCCAGCAGCAGTCTAGGACCTAATAATAAAGTCAGTGCCGACTTGCAATACTTCAAGATATTGACATCGAAGTACAACAAGCAATCTAGTGGAGCGTCTTATTTAATCACTAGTCCGAGCCTCTGTAAATACATTTTCGTTCTGGAGTCAATCTAAAACAATAGAATATGCTTCGACACGCCGCACGCTCTGCAATCCAACGCCGCAGCCGTGTTGTCGGTCAGCACACCCGCTCGCTGGCTACACAAAGCGGAGATGACACCAAGAAGCCAACCGCTTTGGCGAAGATCCATTTGGAGGATGGAACAACTCTCATCGGAAAATCATTCGGTAGCCACGAAAGTGCGGAAGGAGAGGTGAGTAACTTGACAATGCAGTACATTTGAATGAAATGTAACAAGCATCAGGAAGAGAGCGATAGCATAGATCCTCACATTCGCATTGAAATTTTACTCTAACCACTACGCATGAATGAATTCATAGGTTGTTTTTGCTACCGGTATGGTCGGTTACCCTGAGAACATGACGGATCCCTCCTATCAAGGTCAAATTTTGTCCCTGACAACACCTATGGTTGGTAACTACGGTGTCCCCGACCGAAAGACCTTGGACGAATACGGTCTCCCAAAATATTTCGAATCCGACAAGATTCATGTCAATGGTCTTATTGTTCAGGATTACTCCCACCATTATTCTCACTGGAACGCGGCCTCTTCTCTCGGTGACTGGATGAAAGAACAAGGAGTCCCTGGTCTTTCTGGTATCGACACTCGAATGTTGACAAAGAAAATCAGAGAAAGTGGAGCGTTGATGGGAAGAATCGAGGTCGATCTTGATGCCCCAGCACCAGATTTTAGCACGATACAAAATGCCAACTTGCGTCACTTGGTCGATGAAGTCAGCATCAAGGAGCCAGTTGTCTACGGGAAGGGAAATGCAACGAAGGTGATCGCCGTCGATTGCGGTATGAAAAACAACATCATTCGACACTTGGTCAAGCGTGGAGTCGAATTGACGGTAGTTCCTTGGGATTACCCCTTTGCCTCTGAAATGCACCTGTACGATGGTCTTTTCTTGTCGAACGGACCCGGTGATCCCACCATGTGCAAAGAAACGATCGCCGAGCTCGAAAAAGTGATTTCCGTACCCGACGACCAAGTCAAGCCTATCTATGGTATTTGTCTCGGAAACCAACTGATGGGACTTGCGGCAGGTGGACAAGCCGAAAAGCTTCCATTCGGTCACCGTGGACAAAACCAGCCTGTCCTGAATCACCAAACGGGAGAATGCTACATTACCCCTCAAAATCACGGTTTCGTCATTGACTGCACCACGCTCCGCCCAGGATGGAAGACTCTTTTCACCAACGCGAACGATGGCTCCAACGAAGGTATCGCACACACGAGCCGACCTTACTTTACCGCACAGTTCCACCCTGAAGCTGCATCTGGACCCTGTGATACAGAATTCATGTTCGACACATTCCTCGAAGCCTGCAGTAAGCCTATGGACAAGATCACATTCCCAGTCCGAAAACCTCCTCCTCCACGACCGGATGTGAAGAAGGTTCTGTTATTGGGAAGTGGTGGAACCTCAATTGGTCAAGCAGGAGAATTCGATTACTCTGGAGGACAAGCAATCAAGGTAAGTCAGACACACAGCTCACGTCATCTGTTCACATGTATTTCAAGGACAGAAAGAATTGTCTAATGAATTTGTCATTTTCATTGCTGAATCATTATTATAGGCTCTCAAAGAAGAAGGAAAGGAAGTTGTCCTGATGAATCCCAACATTGCTTCCGTTCAAACCAACATGGACAGCAAGTCCGAATTCAAGGCTGACCACACCTTTTTCTTGCCAGTGACACCCGAATTCGTCGAGGAGGTCATCAAGAAGGAAAAGCCCGATGGTATCGTTGTTTCCATGGGTGGACAAACGGCCCTTAACTGCGCCGTTGAAATGTACGAAGCCGGAACTCTCCAGAAGTACGGTGTCGAAGTTCTTGGAACTCCCATTGATGTAGTTATCAACACCGAAGACAGACAATTGTTCTCGGATCGTTTGAATGAAATCAACGAAAAGATTGCAAAGTCTTATACTGCTGATACTGTCGAAGAAGCTGTAGAAGCCGCGAAAGAAATTGGATACCCTCTCATGATCCGATCTGCCTTTGCGCTTGGAGGTCTCGGAAGTGGTATGTGTTACGATGAAGACCATCTCCGACACATGGCGAGACAAGCCTTGTCTACGTCTCCTCAAATTCTCGTCGAAAGAAGTATGAAGGGATGGAAGGAAGTTGAATACGAAGTTGTCCGTGATGCGTACGACAATTGTGTGACCGTTTGCAACATGGAAAACTTCGACCCGCTTGGAATCCACACTGGGGATAGTATGGTCATGGCTCCATCTCAAACTCTATCGGATGAAGAATACCACATGCTCCGTAATACTGCCATCAAAACCGTACGCCATCTTGGTATCATTGGAGAATGTAATATTCAGTACGCTCTCCACCCCGAATCTCTTGAATACTGCATTATCGAAGTCAATGCTCGTCTCTCCCGATCGTCTGCTTTGGCTTCGAAGGCAACTGGATACCCACTTGCTTTCGTGGCTGCCAAACTATGTCTTGGAATCCCAATGACGGAAGTTATTAACGCCGTAACCAAGAAGACTCAGGCAGCATTCGAGCCTAGTTTGGATTACATTGTCACTAAGATCCCTCGTTGGGATATGACGAAGTTCCAGCACGTCAGCCGTGAAATTGGTTCTGCAATGAAATCCGTTGGTGAGGTCATGAGTATTGGCCGCACAATGGAGGAATCTTTCCAAAAGGCTATGCGTATGGTTGACCCATCTATTGCTGGATTCGAACCGCACGATCGATTCGAGACCATTGAAGATCTGAAGCAAGAGTTGGCGGTCCCTACCGACCGTCGTATCTATGCTATTGCACAAGCTATGCACGAAAAGACTCTAAGCGTTCAGGAAATCCACGATATTACCAAGATTGATCACTGGTTCTTGCGTAAACTTGAAAACATTGTTCAAACTAGAAGCCAACTTGAAGCAACCACGCTTGACTCTTTGGACCATGAACTCATGCTTGACGCAAAGAAGGTCGGATTTTCTGATTCTCAAATCGCCAATATTTTCAAGTGCAGCGAAGACGATGTCCGAAACAAGCGCATTGGTCTCGGAGTTGAACCCGTCGTCAAGCAGATTGATACTCTTGCTGCCGAATACCCTGCTGCCACCAACTACCTGTACATGACTTACCATGGAACAGAAAACGATGTCGAGGCCGAAGATGGAGGTGTTGCTGTTCTTGGAAGCGGTGCCTACCGTATTGGATCGTCTATCGAGTTCGATTGGTGCGGAGTTAGTTCCATTCGTTCGCTCCGAAAGATGGGATACAAGGCCACTATGATCAACTACAACCCAGAAACTGTCTCCACGGATTATGATGAATGCGACCGCATGTACTTCGAAGAATTGAACCGCGAACGTGTTCTCGATATCTACCAGCGAGATAATTTGGATGGAGTTGTTGTCAGTGTTGGAGGACAAATTCCAAACGGCCTTGCCATTCCTCTGGCAGACGCTGGTGTCAAGCTTTTGGGTACTTCTGCGAAGATGATTGATAACGCCGAAGATCGTAACAAGTTTTCCGCCATGATCGATGAAATCGGTGTCCAGCAACCAAGGTGGCTCGAACTCACCGATAGCGGAAGCGCCATCGACTTTGCCAACGACGTCGGATACCCTGTGCTTGTGCGTCCTTCGTATGTGCTCAGTGGAGCTGCCATGAACGTTGCGTGGAACGATGAGCAACTGAAGGCATTTTTGAACGAAGCAGCAACCGTTTCCAAGGATCATCCCGTTGTCATCTCTGACTTTATCGAAGGAGCTACCGAAATCGAATTCGATGGTGTTGGAAAGGACGGTGAAATCATCGCCGCCGCGATCCACGAGCACATCGAAAACGCCGGAGTCCACTCCGGAGATGCCACATTGGTTCTTCCTCCTCAAACTCTCTCCGACTACACCAAGCACCGTGTTCGCGATGCTGCCAAGAAGATTGTCAAGCGTCTGAACATTACCGGACCCGTCAACATTCAGTTTGTCGCCAAGGGAACAGACGTTATGTGTATCGAGACCAACGTTCGTGCGTCCCGATCCTTCCCATTCGTTTCCAAAACCATGGGTGTTGATTTCATCGAAGCCGCTACTCGTGCTATGGTCGACGAAGACACCTCGGACATGAACTTGCCTACTCTGGAAACCAGAGATCGACCAAGTGGATACGTTGGTGTCAAGGCCCCCATGTTCTCTTTCACTCGTCTTCGAGGTTCCGATCCTGTTCTAGGCGTAGAGATGGCCTCTACCGGAGAAGTTGCATGCTTCGGAAAGACCCGAGAGGAAGCCTTCTTGAAGTCGATGCTCTCCACCGGCTTCAAAATGCCGAAGAAGAACATTTTGGTTTCGGTCCAAGAATCGCTCCAAGACGAATTCACCCACAGCGCATGGCAGTTGATCGAGCAAGGTTACACTCTGTATGCCACCGAGAACACCGCCGAGGTGTTGAAGAAGAACCAGGTTCCTTGCACCGTTGTTGCATACCCCACCGACGAGGGATCGGATCTGCCCAACGCCAGCGAGCTCATCAAGAAGGGTGATGTTGGTATGGTCATCAACATCCCCACGTACGAGTCGAAGAGACTGGAAGACAACTACAGCATGAGACGAACTGCTATGGACTACGGAGTCCCACTCCTCACGAACACGCAACTCGTGAAGGTATTCGCCAATGCCGTCCAAGAGCACGATCGTGACAAGGGTCTCGAACCAGCCACTCTGTTCGAACACTACCAAGGCGAGAAGGGATCGGATGCATGGACGGACGCTTCCGAATTCCATTAAGTGGTACAAACTTCATACATGATGAATCACCTGTTGTCGAAGCATTGCGGAAGGGGAGCCTTTGCTAATTGTTATACAAATTAATTCGGAACAACTAGAATATCCAAATTTTGAAACTGTGTTGCCTGTCTTATTGTGCAACAGTAACTTCCGATCCTTTCGGACTAGTTCGACGCTGGCGATCTTTGACTTGGGATTAGATACGATTTATCATTTGTTGCTGTGCACAAAGGTCTGGATCGGAGACTGATTTCAGGTTTTCTTTCTTACCATTAGGGTTGAAGATTGCGCATTGTGAAGAGAGATTGCCATCTTCAAAACTACCGTACGGTACTATTACTCGTACTCGTTCCATCAGTACCGAGCTTGCGCTGCGATTTTTCAGTCGAAAAACTAGACAACCAGTTCTGTGGAAGCACCATGCCGGATCTTCTTACTTTCTTGCATACCACCTCGAGAGACGACACTAAGGTACTGCGAGCGCCAACACACACCGAATGATCGACATCACATCAAAAGATGAAGATGGCGGCAGTCGCGAAGGACCACAGCCGTCGAAATTTTCTGACCACGCTTCCCGGCTTATTTTTGGATCCTGCAACTCCCAGCACTACGAGCAACCCTTTTGGAAGATTATCGGAGAGCGCAATCCTGCTGCTTTTGTTTGGACCGGTGATTCCGTGTACGCAGACGATCGGCCGAAACAATCAGTGGGGGGAAGAGAACTGCATAGCGGGAACCTCGATTCTGCTAGCTGGTGGTGGCCATCCCTGTCGAGAGTTCGTTCCCGATCTCCTGGCTACGCGGACGCAACCCCCGATTACCTCCGGGAACTCTATCGGCAACAACTCGAAGTCCCGGAATACAGGGACCTGATCACCGGGGGGGGCATCTCGATTTTTGGAGCTCTGGACGACCACGACTATGGAACGAACAACGGCGACAAGACGTTTCCGTTCCGAACGCAAAGCGGGATCGAATTTACCAGGTTTCTTGGCTTGGACGATCGATCCTCGGCAATGGCGAGGAGGGCGTCGAGGGGTGCCGGGGTATACGGCGTGCAGGTCTACGATTTCTCTTCCGCGAAAGGTCGGTTGCTCTCGGACGCCGATGCCGGCCTCGATCCGGATGTGATACCGGATGCAACATACCGCGATCGACGGAACGATTCCGGCGACAACAACGGTGGCAGCAGCAGCAACAACAGCGACAAGCTAGTGGCAGTATTTGTCTTGGACGTAAGAAGCAACAAGACGCCATGGGCCAAGGGCTTCCCGGAACGCTACGCCTTAAATCCCGAGGGAGACTTTCTCGGAGAAGATCAGTGGAAGTGGTTCGAAACAGCGATCGGCCGGTCGAATGCTCGGGTCAACATTATTGTGAGTGGGATACAGGTCCACGCCCCCTGGTTTTACGATTCGAACAAAATAGAGAACTGGAGGTGAGCTTTTGCAAACGGTTTGCCGAACCCGATCGAATAATGCACGAGTGCGATACTATCAATTGATACTGCTAATCCGTTTCAAAATGTTTGATCGCTTTTTGTACGCGGGAAATGTTTCAGTGGTTTCCCGGCAGCTCAGCACCGACTGTATCAAACCGTGCTTCAACCGAATGTGTAAGTGAAGCAATGCGACAATTCTAAATTCAGCAAGGGGGTGGGCGTCAAAACCCCCGGTCTTCTATAGTTGGTTTTGTTCGGCACCGATCCAAACCGATTGACAACGATTCTTCCTGTTTTTTCCTTTCTCGACAGCCGCGCCCCGATTTTGTTTTCGGGGGACATCCACATGGCCCAAATCCTGCGAAAAGATTGCCGAAGGATGGCATCGGGCACGGACCTGGGCAACGAGGGAGATTCGGGGAAGGGCGGCAGCCAACGCCACCGGACACTGCGACCGCTGTACGAGGTCACCTCGAGCGGGATGACCCATTCGTGGAGTTCGAACAGCGGCCGGTGCGGGAGACCCAAGAACAGCAGGTTATGCAGCTTTTATCCCTTCAACGTCCTGGTCGAGATCGTGATGACGTACGCACACTACGCAAGCCCGTGGACGGCTCTCTTGCGCGGGAACGACGACGACCGCGGGGACGGGAGCCGTGGGGCCGGCGGCGGGTCGCGGGAGAGACGAGCCGGTGCACAGCAGCGGCAGTACACCCTGGAGCGAAACATTGCCGAGGTCGAGGTGGACTGGGAGGAGAGCGTGGTCACGGTTCGAATCCTGGGAGACCGGGGCCAGACGCTGCTCCGGCAGGACTGGTCCATGGACCGGTTGACGGGCGGGGGTGAACCGGGGATTCCCGGCGCCGGATCCCTGCTCGGGGACCCGTCCTTCGAGGAAGGGCAGAAACGACTCGAGTCTTCGCTTCGGCGCGGCTTTCCGAGCGACCACGGCGAGTACATCTGCGTCAACTACCGCGGAAACATCGACCGGGTGCACTTTGCATTTTCCGTGGTTTCCACGATCGGGGTGTTTGTGGCGATCGGGACGTATCCTTTCTTGCTCTGCCTCGGCGTCCTCGCCCGGTGGGTCCTCCGGCGCCACGGGAAGGCCAGCCCACCGGTCCGCCGGCGGAGGGAAGCCGGCACGGGCAAGAGCACGAGCGGCAAAGCCGACCGACCCAAGACCGATTGATCCGTGGACCGGCGGGTGCCGTGCCGCCCTTTGCGCCGTGCGAGTTCCTTCCGCACGTTCGTGCTCCGAAATCATCGAGAAGAAAGGACGCTATCGGATTTGTACGCGGAACCATTGGTTCTTTTCAATCCAAAACGACAAAATCTTTGTTGCCACAAACTCAACTCGTCGTGTCGTGTATGCCAACAATTGCGAGATACGACTACGCTCGTGTTTTTCAATTGGGTCTGAATTACGGGCCAAGCTACAATCAATTCACTGCAGTCGTTGCGAGATCCCACTTGCACAAAATCGGTTGCCCACGAAGCAACAGTGCGACACTGCATGTTTCTACTATAAATAGAGCAACCAGGGATCGCGTTCGTTTTTCGTTTTGTTGCGTTCCGATCCCTGGAGCGAGACAGAGAACAACTAGATGCCAGAATGCACCCGGTGCATGCGCGAACCCGGCTTTTTTTGTTCTAGATACGTAGTGTAAGCGTTTTTCTTGCCTTTGTTAGTTTATTGGTTGGCAAAGTCGATTCCCTTCTGGATTTGTGCCTTCAGGTCGGGGAGCATCTTGTTGAGCCATCCCTCTTCGTATTCCGAAATGGCTCCGAATCCCCGGACTTCTTCGACGCCCTCGGGGCCGAACTTGCAGGGGGAGGAGAAGAAGGAGGCGTCCGTAACGTCGGAGGCGACGTAGGCGCACTGGACGATGTCGTCGGCCCCGTTCATGGCCTGCAGGACCTTGTCGGTGAAGAGGTACCCGGCGTAGGCCATGGAAAGGGTGGCGGATCCGGCGCCCGCCTTGGCCTGGACGACCTCGTCCCCGCCGAACTGGGTTCGGTGCGTAATGGCGTCGAGTTCCTCGGCTCCGGGGGTGTATCCGGGGACCTGGGAAAAGAGGGACAGGATGGTGATCCCGGCGTGCCCGCCGATCACGGGGACGTCGATGGCGGAGGGATCGCCCCCGGTGGAGGCTCCGACAAAGGTGTTGGCGCGGCTGCGTGTGCGTGTATATGTATATGTGCATGTGCACATGCACCGGATTGGTCGGGCGGAGAGACGGGACGCGAAAGGGAGGACAGGCAAAGCGCGCAAGCGTGTGAGTATCGCACAACCACAAGAACACCACCACGTTTTGCATCGCATCCAAGGCCCGCTTCGTTTTGCGTCGCATCGCATCACACCGCATCACACCGCTTCGCTTACATAACGTCGAGGGTGGTGACACCGCAGAGCTTCTTGGGGTCGTAGACGCCCTTCTTCTTGAGGACCTCGGCCGCGATCGGAACCGTCGAGTTGACGGGGTTGGAAATGATCGCCAGGACGGCCCCCGGGCAGTGCTCGGCGCATCCCTCCACCAGGGTCTTGACGATGCCCGCGTTGGTGGCGAACAGGTCGTCCCGCGTCATGCCGGGCTTGCGGGGAACCCCGGCGGGGATGACGACGACGTCGGCGCCGGTGAGGGCGGTCTCCAGCCCGGAGTCCCCGGAGGGCGGCCAGGTCGGGCTCGAGGGAACGCTTCCCGTGACGGAGGCCTTGGAGGGGATGTGGGAGAGATCGGCGGCGACCCCGGGGGTTCCGACAATGTCGTAGAGGGAGAGCTCGGTGACGTTCTCCGAGAGCTTGAGCAGCATGCTAAGGGGCTGGCCGATGCCCCCGGCGGCTCCCAGGACGGCGACCTTCTTTCCCATGGCGGCGGTCGAGGAGTAGAAGCGGTTGTTCTTGTGGTGGGTTGCGGAGAGGGCGGCGTTCAGGACACGGCGGGACGTGGTGCTGGCAAACATGTTGGGGGAAGGGACGGTGGGGCAAGGTGGGGCACTGCGATGGCACTGCGATGGCTCTGACGCGGGGGTTTCGATGGAGGGATTCGGTGGAGGGGAGGGAGCCCAACGGAGAGAAAAAAGGGTGTGGCGGAGGGGTCAGAAAGAACAAAACTACTGCAGTACGTACTATACTTTACTATGCTTTGCTTTGCTTTGCTTTGCTTTTCACAGAACAAGTGCCGGTGCCGTATCTCGAAACCGCGAGGCGCGAAACGAGCACCGAGTTTGTGGTCTTGGCAGTTACGGAACCGGCACCCCGTGCCCGTGCGATCGAGGGTCTCCTCTCCTCGGGTCCTCCCGTGTGGTAGGGCACCGTTCGGTGCCTCACGCTGCTCTATTCTCGGGACGCCCCACCCTGCTTCCGTTTCCGGACTTACGATTCTGTTCTCGGCAAAGGCCTCGTGTTCGAAATAAGCGTTCGATGGGTTGCGCAGCGGTCACAAAATCACCAACCGGGAGAAGAAAGATGGTGGAGAACAGAAACCACGATACGATACCAGTTTCCGTACCGCAACGTACGGTACAAGTACGTACCGGTATGTACACAGGTGCATACGACTACGGGTACTCGTGCCGTCCGTGCAACTCCAAAATCACATGATATGAGCGGTGTTGATTGACCGTGGTTTTACTTTATTTCGGTTGGATTGCTGCCGTACGGTAGGTACGGTACACTACGTACCGGAGTGTCGTTGCTTTATTCGGAGGGTTCGCGAAGTTCACGAAGATACAGAATCATCGACCGAACAAAAGGAGAAGTACGGTACTTACGTACAGTACTTCGTACTACTAGTACTAGATATTTGTGTCGACCGTGGGCGGATGGCATGGTCGATCAGTCCTCAGTAGTACGGTACAGCGCGTAATTATTCGTGACTCAAGTTTAAAGAAGAGTTAAACCGTGTGGTAGGTGGTATGGCTTTTAATACAGAATAATACGTATGATACATACAGTACCGTACGGTAAGATATGATGAGGGTGTCGATCGATAATCGATATCGATAAAGAAAGAAATTCTGTACCGTAGGGTACGTAGTACGTACTGTAACGTACGAGTATTTACTTTTTGCTTCTGTTCGTACCGTGCGTTACAGCACTTCGTAGTAGTTGCCACTCGTCCTCTGAAGACAAAAAGCCGGGACGAGTTCTTCGCATACCGTAGCTTTTCCATCACCACCACCGCCACAGAGCATCGTTCGACGGTTGCGTTTGTTGATCCGTACCAAACGAGATACGAGATACCGACACAGATACCAACACCAACACCAACACCAACACGAGCCCCGCCATGATAGGAAGGGCTCTCGTGAAGTCGGGCCTGCAATCCGGAACCATCATGGGGATTGCCGACCTGGGCACCCAGCTCTTCGTCGAGGGCAGGGGCCTTCCGGCGGGGGGACCTTCCGCAGCGACAACGACAACGACAGCGACCGCCACCGACGGGCACTGGGACGCGGTGCGCACCCTGCGGTGGGCCTCCCTGGGACTGGTCCTCCACGGGCCCTACTTTTTTGCCGGCTTTTCCTTTCTCGACCGGCGGTTCGCCGCCGGGAAAGCGTCGTCGTGGACCACCGTCGCCAAAAAGACGGCCGCGGCCCAGGCCCTCCTCTTTCCCCCCTACCTGGTGGCACTCTTTGGCGCCCTGGGCCTGCTGGAGGGCGATCCGGACGTCCTCGGAAAGATCCGCGGGCGGGTCCCGGAGGCCTTTGCGAGCGGGTGCGTCTACTGGCCGATCGCCAACGCGGTCAACTTCGGGGTGGTTCCGAACCGGCTGCGGATCCCGTACCTGGCCGTCTCGTCGGGGGCCTGGAATTCCTATCTCAGCTACTCCAACCAGCGGTAGCAGCCGCGTGCTTGCGAAAAGACGCTGATCGGGATCGATGCACGCCCGGTCTCCCGGGGGCACACGCACGTGCCTGCATCGAAGCGGCACCGCGACACCAGAACGGTTCGTTGACCGCAAGCACCAGCGATGGATCCAGCCCCCGGCACGCCCGCTTGTCTGCCAACCGCAGACCGGGAGTGCCTCCCCCCGACGATGGCGAGCGACGGGCTGGCACGCACCGCTGGACTGTCTTGTGGTCCATCGCATCGCATCGCGACGCTACGCAACGCTAACCAGAAGCCGGCGGGGGCGAGGCGATGTTGCCTTGGGCACGGGCTGAGGACGCCCACGTGTGGGATTTGCTGGGGGGGGGGATGCCGGCGGATGCACACCCGAACGCTGCTTCGGAAAGAAGTCTTTCGCAGCCCGGGTGTTCCCGGTCGGCTTTGTACGAATGCCGCATGGCAGGCACACGCCGAAAATTGGTACCACCATTTCTATGGAATCCACGCTCGCCGAGAAAGAAAGTCGAGGAGCCAATTCTGCGCGCATTGTTAGAATGATTGTCAGACGAAGAGTCTCTCATTCATAGCTTCCTATGGTATATATAATCCGTAACTCAGTATTAGCTTGTTCAAAATACAACTCTCGCCCCCACCTATTTTGATATCAGGTTATAGTAGTAGCAGCAGTAGCAGTGGGAACACCCGAGGCTGGCGGAACGGAAGTGGAATTTGTAGCTTGCGAATATTCTTGCTTCGGGCCGCAGCAGGCGGTCGTGTCGGTAGCTGGCGGGACCATCACGGACGGAGGTATGTCGGAAGGATCGATTATGATCTCGTGGTTGATACTTGCGAGCGGATCCGGATTCGGATCGTTCAATGGATGTTGTGCCGGTCCACCCTTGTTCATACCGTCATCCCTTATGGCAAACACATCATCTTGATCCATGCCTAACAGGTCCAGGTCTCCCAATCCCGGATCAGGACCATGACCAAGATAATCACCTTCCATTTTGATTGCAACCACTGGGGTAGGATGAATCGATTCAGGGAGAGCCATCGACGGCTCCAATGCCGTTGCAAAATCTGGATCGGCTCCGCTAGTGTTCTCCGTGGGTACAGCGTCAGCGACGAGAAAGCCACAGTCAACTTCTTCAGCGGCTTCCACGTCTATCTTCGCCATGTCCTCGTATATATTATCCAAGACATCCAAATTTTCGCCCTCTTCCGTAACAATCCTTTGTGCCCCAGGTTGTGCCCCAGGTTGCACCCCAACTTTGAAAGCGGGATGCGGCACCGTTGCTACAGCTTTCTGAATCTGCTCCTCGTTGCTACTCCCCGTGCCAATAGATGATGCTTTTGCAGTACGTGAAACAAACTGAGCATGATTTCCTACAGGCTCCGTCTTTGAGACGACAAGTGCTGCTGCCGGGGCAAGACCAAGAGCTGGTTTTTGCGTCGCAGGATTTTGGTCTGCAACGGGCATTTTTGCAACAACATCCGATTTCCGAACGTTATTTACCTGCATTGGTGACGCAGCTTTTTTGGTTGCGGTTTGTTTCTTGCTTGCAGCATTAGATTTTGTGTTTTTGGCCAAGCTGGCCTTAGCAGCAGCGATCATACGTTCTCTGTGCTTCTTCATTCTATGCCCATTCAGACCAACCAATCCTTTCAGTCCCTTTGGCAATTCTTTCGGCGAACAGATCGCGCATTGATCTGGCTCCTTGCACGAGACAAGATGATATAGTAGGTGCTTAACTTTGCGACACCATGGAAAAGGGCACACATCAAACGTTGATGTTGTTCCAGGACAGTCACGGACATGTAGCATCATGTATTTCACTGATCTGCACACATCTCTATGCTTTTCTAGTTTATGCTGGCAAGGGCAAGTTGCAGCATGGCCCATGAGAATCAACAACTTAGAAGCATGCTCATCCGAGAGAACAGGCCCCTTGTATTCGCTTCCAAATGTTTCGTGCTCGGCACGTTCAGCGGGCGTCATGGACCGCAGATCTGACTCCAGTTCAGCTGCTTTCAACGAACCAATTGAAATATTGTCATCCGAGAGTTCGCTTAGATCAGAGTCTGACTCAGAATTTACATCGCTTGCACCATCAGGGATTTGCGATACAATAGGCATCGCCGGCACGACAGCTCGTACACCGTTTGAAGGAATGGATCCGGCATTCCCTCTACCGCCATCTTCAAGATGAGAAAGAAGCGCAGGATGGTACTCGATAGTATTGGCAGGGGAGCTAATATCAATGCGAGGAATCTGAACATTGAAATATATTTTTCGTATGAGAAGATTTTCAATATTTTCTGAAATTCTAGACGGAGAGAACTCCACGCGAAGGAAAAAAAGATACTTTTTCTACTCACCTGAGTCTTTCCGCATTTTGGACACTTATGCTGAGCCAACGCCCACCAAGGATTGAATTCACAGGTCGAACTGTATGCCTCACTGCATTGTGAACAAAGATACTCTACAACACGGGGTCCTTTTTTCTTTTGGCCGGGCTTACAGTGACCAGGTTTTTTTCGCACCGCGTTGGGACTTGCGGCTGATTGAGAGCTGTTAGGGATTTGTTGTTGAGTTTTTGATTGCTGTTGCCTCGCGAGCTCGCGTTCCCTCCTTCTCTTCAATCGCTTCAGCTTCCTTAGTCTTCTGTGTTTTTTGAATTTCAGTTTATCTTCTTCACTCATGGGAGCAGTAGTGCTATGATCTAAAGGTCTGCTTTTTTTGACGGTATCAGAGGTGCTTGCTCCTGATACTGCTGTTGTTGCAGGTTCTGCCTTAGGGTCAATAGCTGGCTTCGGTTTCGCCGCTAATGTGGTGTTTTTTGCCTCAGCTTGAAATGTTTGCGCAGGTTTAGCTTTATCGGCCATAGCTGCTGCTGGAATCGCTGATGTGGGAATAGATTTATTAATTGTCTTCGGATTGTTCTTTTGACTTTGTGATGTTACGATCTCGTGGACTCCCGATGCCGCAGACAATCCAGACTCTTGCTGAGAACTCTTTGGAACCATGCCCGCATGCAATATCTTCCGTTCCGATCGATCTTGGGGTGCTGATATGGAACCGACTCCATGTCCAGTCCGCCGTTGCTTCGATCCGAGTGTAGATCCATGCAATTTTTTGGTAAGAGAAGACCCCACGCCACTTAAGGGTTTTCCAAATTGAGTAGGATCTGTCACACTACGAACTTGTCGTTCGTGTTGAGCTTGTGCGGCCAGACGCAACGACTCGGCGTGTTTGCGTTTTTTTTCTACCGCCTCTACAAAAGTCCCCTTTCCCCTAGCTGCAGACGATGGCTGCATACTTCCTCGTCTTGCAGGCATTCCTGGTGGATTTTGAGTAGCCCCTTGCTGCGCTGCCAGTTGTTTTTTAAGGCGAACCTTTACGGGTAAAAGATTAGCGAGGATGTGCTCCTCAAGTTTTTGAACAGTTTCCTCTTCTTCTTTCTCTTTCGTTAAGTTAGAGAGTGCCGATTCTTCTGCCATTTGTTTTTTTGCTTCTCTAGCAGCCTTATCCAAGGTAGCATTTGCCAACGCACTTCCATCATTCGCAGTATTTGATGCATTAACAGCACCACCGATAGAACCGGCAGCGACGTTCCTATTTTCTGTAGTGGCAGACTTTCCCTCTCCTTCCAATTTGCATCCCAGTTCAATTTGTCGAATTGTGTCCTCCAAATGCAGAATGAAGGAATGCAATTTCTCTCGTCGTTCACGTGACCCCTGTGATTCCTCGAGTTGTTGTGCACCTTTGGCCCCCAACAGTTGTCGCTCCAGTTTCCGAAATTCTCGGAGCATGTACTCCAGTTCTCCAAGATACTTGATGCGCAAATGTCTGAAATTGAGTGATTTCAGGGGCACCTCCCTGCTGTTCGGTACACCCGCTATCGTATGCGACGCTAGGGTTGCAGTCGTCGTCTGGGATGGCGCAACCTGAGTTCTTACGGGTGTGGGCTTGCTAGCAGCGGGAGGTATCGTCGTAGACGAAGGTGGATCTTTAAGAGCAGTAGTGGCACGATTAGATAATTGTGTTGGAGGAGGTATCGGTGCAACCGGGCGAATGGTAGCCGCTGAAGCTGGCAGAGTCGCTCCATTAGAAGCATTGGGTGGCCTCGTCGTCGTTGAAGTAGCTGAAGTGCTATTCGTGACTGCAGTTGCCGTAGACTCTTGCAGAGATTCGTGCGAAGAATTGCTGCTTCTATTATCTGAATTGCTAGTGTTTTGTGGTAGCGACTCGTCAGATGCCGTAACGACAGAAGTAGTTCCCCCTTGACTATTATTTGAAGAGGATGCCTCATCTTTCACGGGTATATTTTTTGGGAGTTGCGTAGTTGCCGATGGGCAAACCGAACCCATAACTGGTGGCTTGATTTCTTGAGGCTGCTGTTGAGGTTGTGCTGCTGCTGCTGGCTTGGGAGTTGGCGCGTGCCGCGGCTTTGTGGTACTACCTGGATCTATAGTGGCTGCGCCAGTTGTAGTCGAAGTATCTTGATTACCATGCATTGATTCTGATTTTACGACCGCTGGCTTGGTCGTTGACCCCAGAGGTAAAGAGGGTTTCTGAATGGATGAAGATATCGATATCGATGTCGTTGTCAGTATCGGAGTTCGATCATTCGTTTGGATATCTGCCGACTGCTCTGAAGTATTACCAGCAAGCGGTGTTGCTGTACCAATGGGGACTTCAGTTGCTACACCGTCCTCTAGCTTAATGCGTTTATTTGCTGGTTCCACTGATGGTTCCATAACAACATTAGTCCTCGTACTCGACATACATGCTGCTGCTGCATCCAGAGGTTGGGTCTGGGATTGATGTTCGTTGTTCTCTCCTGTCGATGGCTTGCTTGTGGTGGTGGTTGATGGCGTGCTTTGCATTGTTTCAGTATCTGTGACGGCTAGAGACTTCTCCACTCCAATGCCGGTACCCTCCTGCGTACACTCAGCACCAGCCGCCATCGCCAAAACTAAGTGATGCTATATGGTCGGAACTACTGTTCGAGGCATCCAATACCACGCCAATATGTATTCTCTAATCGTTTCTCTATGTAACGAATAATCTCTCCGGAGATACGCTAAAGGATGTGTTGTCGTCTTGGATCCGATATAGGGAATCGGCGAACCAAAGAGGCAGCCTTTGTCTCTTTCAAGAAGCTTTGGTAGTTAGATCCTCGGGATAGACTGTACAAGATCGAAGATACCAAGGTCACAATCTCTCCTGAGACGATGATGTCGGACACAATGTTTCTTCCTCCTCTGTAAACTTTTCCGAAGGGGGAGGGTTGCCGTACGTTTCTACTGGTATCCAATAAAGTAACGCGGGTCACCGAAATGTTGTAGATAGATACGTACTCGTACTCGTACATGCAAGCAAAACAAGTATAGATCAATTATTTTCAGGCGCCGGCTCACATAAAAATTGTAGTACGTACGTTACAAATTTAGTTAGAGGGTTCTTTTCGTCTGGCCTGTCTCCAATCGAAATTGATAGGTTGTTCGACGTCATGGCAAGCTTCACTCGATTATTGGGCTGACCACGTAAGACGTTAAAAAAAGGAGAACCCGTAGAACTGAAGGAAAAATTATCGCTGACAAAATAATTGTTTTCTGAAGAAGGCGATTGCAGTAATGGCCGATGAACTTGGCGCTCAAAAGTGTGAACTTTATGCTGATTGATTAAAGAAATTTGAAATAGCTCCAATTTGTTGACGTTCTTTCGAACAATTCCATTCTGTTTAAGTATATGTTTTGACTTATGACAGTCCGAGAATAAAACATTATAATTGGTTAATGGATTTCATGGAACTGAAGAGAATAGGAAGAACGTCAATCAACAGAGGCCGACATACTTTCTTTGTGGACAACAATCAATTGCGTCTGTCCGTCGAGGAGAAAATTGAATCTTTCAACGAACCAAGTACGTACGACTACCTGTACTTGCTACTTCTAGTACGAAGTAGTATTACAGTAACTCTTTCCCTTTTTCGTACCGTATCCCACCCCATACGTACAGTACTAGTTTTTCTTCTACTTCATTTGTTTCCCTGTTTTACTGGTCCTCAATAAATGTCATTGCAGTTGGGCCTATGTAGGATTGTGTGCATTAATTACTAGGAACTTCCTTTGTCCTCACTATTGCCCTTATTTTGACTATAGTTTTTTTTGTGAACTCAATTGGTGACACAAAAATGCATGACTGGCTATGTGGAAGATACCAGGCAAGAGGCAAGGGCCAAGGGGGTGAGTAAACTGTGCAGACACTGCCAGTGTGACACGGAGAACATCTGTAATCCATCCATGCAGTACAGGCAGGCATTATGGAAGCCATCGGACTTCCATACCTTGCCTGGTGGAACACCCGCCCAGGTCAAGGAAAATAGCAAACGGATATCCCACCACTCGATACACAACAATGCCTTTCATGAACTAAACTTTGGAGCCAACGACCACAACATCCACTTGGCATCACCGGGAGAGTGCCTTCACATGCATCAGCTGGGAGTTGCAAAATGAGCTGTAGAGTCATTCAAAGAACAAGTCTCAGGGAAGATAACTGATGTACCATATGCAACTGAATTCAGAGGTAACCCTGGTATGTGTCAATCAATGGGGTTGCTGGGGCAGGAATATGGTGCTCTCCTGTGTCAACAGTCAGATTGTGATTTTCCAAGAAGCAAATTTGGCACTGACATACTAAACAACAAGAGAAAGGAGGGACATGACTTCGCGGGTGTATTAATCTCCATCCTGATAGCCCTGGTTTCAAAGCATGTCTTAGAAGAAGTGACATGGGTTTATGAACCTAATAAAAACACACTTATACTTTCATTTGCCAAAATACATGGAGCTTTGGGGTCCCCTGCAACGGATACGTACGTACTGTATTAGAGGGATACGTACGTACTGTATTGAGAGATACGTACAATACGATACGAAGCTCCGAAGAAAGGAATGAAG